TTCTTCAATCTCCCAAATATTTAGATTCCTTGTGACACTCACGAACCAACTCCTACTCCCATTACCTTCAATACAGGCCTCCTCAACCTTCATGTTTTTCGACATAGCAATAGTAAAGATTCTTGGAAATGGAGTTTCAAGTTTACCGCTTATGGGCCACTTGTCTTTCCAAAATTTTATTTTATCATCTCTCTCCAACTTCCGCTCAATACAATCAATGAAATTATTTTTTCCCATATTTATCTTTTTTTATAACCCCAAACCATGCGGCCTAGACACAACACGAGAATCCCTAGCCAATATATCTGTATCCCACCGAGCCGCCACAATGCGCTTCCACATCCTCCGCTCCCTCATAAATCTCCATGACCATTTACCATGAAGTGCCGTGTTCATTTCAACTATGGATCTTATGTGTGTATATATATATATATCATCTATAAGTATTTTTTTTGTTATATGTGTAATATATTTTTAAAACAATTAAAATATTTTACACAATTTAATGCTAGTGTTATTTTTTCCTTCAAACAACTCTAAAAACCTACGAAAAGTTTTGAACCCAGGCCACACCCTCCCTAGTAGACATCTTCACATCCTCCCACCTCATAAGATGGTATTTTTTGCTGCCTTCTTCATCCTCCCAAAGAAATCTGCATTGAATATTCTCAAGTATTCTAGCAATTTTTGTAGGTACCATCAACGCAGACATGTAATAGATAGGAAAATAAGTCAACATACTTTTTATTAGAGTCAATCTACCACCCTTCAATAAATAATTCTTCTTTCATACTGTAAGTCTCCTCTTAGATAAATTGACCACAGGCTCCCAAGTTGTAGAGTCCTTTGATGTTAACCAAATCACTTAGAAAAAATCTTCTTTCTCTCTCTCTCTCTCTCTTTCTCTCTCTCCTCCCTCCCTCCATTGAACTCAAAACAAAACCAAATCTAAACTTTCTTCACAAATCCCCCTCTCTCTATCAAAACCCTCACCAATTCTGCAGATAAGGAAGCCTCAAAGCTCGGCCGACCCAAAAACCCTATGGGCATATCAAACAGTCTGAATAAGAAGTTCATTCTCATCGACAGCAAATCTTTTGACATTGCATGGGCAGGAAAGACAATGGACAAACTAAGAATCAACGAAAACGGGCACGGATTTAGGATCTCAATTCATCTGAATGTAGAGGAAGTTCATTGGCTTGTCGAAATTCTGAGAGATTAAATCTGGAATAAGGGGGGCTCAACTTGGGGCAAAAATCTCAACGGTAATAACCATTCTCTCAATTTGGCATTTGGAAGGAACAAGAAGGGTTGCTTCCTTGTTTTATTCGAGATATGGGGCAAGAAACACAAGAGAATATTTGTCCCGGAAGGAATCAAAGCAGGAGGGTGGTGGCGCATCATGAAATTGTTCTTCGAACTTGCCGAAGTCCCAATTGTAAACCCTTTCTTGGAGGAGACCAAGCAAACGTTGACTCTGCCTCCTTTTTTTGTGATACCACGCTAGACAGGATCCCCCATCCTGTCTCAAGCGATCATTCATGGGACCCTTTCTCAGTTAAGTGCCCACACTGCCATATGGAGCTCATCTTGAGTCCTAAAGTTACAACTGGGCGAAGAAGACTGTACCCACCCCACCCCAATGTCAGAATTCGTTTGAATTTCAAATGAGGTTCAGTAATCAAGAATCTCTGACACGCACAAAGAATTGTTTCCAAATTTTGGCTCAAACCTATTCTGTTGCGAATCCGGCTAGACCGGAATTCATGGTGAATAACTCTAATATGTCAAAGCCCAAATCCTCGAGGGCAGAAAAGGGCAAGAGAACTAATTACAATGGGCCTAGCAACGACACAAAGAAATTTAGAAAGCCCGGTGTCAAAGTCCCAAAGTTCAAACGGGTCTGGAGGCCAAAGCACCTGAACCGCATCAACCCCTCTCTAACAGGTAAAATCCCAATTACTATTTTTCGTTTGGGGGGCATTGACAGGGAAAAAGGAACTCAATCTGAACAGACCATTCCCAAAAAATCCTTGTGGGTACCACGCTTGACAATTTTTTACCCGATGAGTTCATTATTCTACCCAATGAGACCGAGGATGATTGCGACAAAAACATGTCATCAGGTGATTTTTCACCAATCTCCTCATCTCCTTCGTTGTCTGGCCTTGAAATGGTTCTTCTTCCTGAACCAGTGCCCTATATATCTCCTATCTTGACAGTTGAACCATGCATGGAAATGATAGAGTTGATAGAAGCTGTGAACCACTACGACGAGAAATTTCTCAACATGGGTTAGAAGAAATATTCTCAGAATTAGTAAACTCTTGGGGGTCACTTTCGAAGGCCGCGAAGAGCAAGTGATGGCATTATTTGCCATGTTGGAAACAAAAACCCTTGAAAAAAAGAAATGCGAGGAGACAACCAACAGGGAAAAGAAAAAACCGATCGAGGGAGGATCCCACAAGTTGAAAAGATTGCATTTTTCTATCAATTATGAAGGGAGAAACAAAATAGTATCAAAAAATGGGACAAAGACCAAGGAAAATCGATGATCAACAAAATCATATTTTAGAATGTTCGAGGTTTAAATGATTTAAAGAAGAGAAATATCATCAAGGGGTGCATGAATCGATGGAAACCAGATTTGATTTGTCTACAAGAAACCAAAATACCAGTCATTGACAAGATTACGGTCAATAGTGTGTGGCGCTCACAAGATACTGACTGACTCTATCTTCCGGTTGACAACACTGCTGGTGGTATCCTCATT